TCCGGTTCATGATAATGAATTTCAGAATCTCCAGTAGTGTTCAGTTCCAGATCCAGTCCCTCGAAAACTTTTAACTTCTGTAACAAATCACTTGCCTCATTCCGTACATGGGTCATGCTTGTTGTTGTTGGTTCCATAGCTCATCTGCCATCACAGATATCAATATATTAGCATATTTCTTCATACAGCTGAGGGTCCAGCGACCCCTTCATACTCTCCTTGTCTCGGCATACTGGTCCTCGGCATGCTTGTCATAGGTCCTGATTTCTGGTTCCGAGGTCTGGTCACTAGTCGATCATACCTCAGGAACGCGATGTCCCCCCTCTCCCTGGCCTCCTTTAACTTCGGCATCAATTCCCTTCTTTTCATCCTCACATACTCGGTGTAATCTTCATTTATGTAAATGTTAGATCCTTTGAGCTTCTTCGCTTGTTGCAATATTTGTGTCTTATCTTTCTCTTTCATCAACTTCACCAATACCGCCCTCGGACCACGATCTCTAAGTTTCCCGATTCTGTGAGCCCGCTCCATCTCAATTTCTTGATGAATTTGCAGATTATTTTTCAGAATCTCCTTTAGGGTGATCTTTCAGCACTCAGCATCCATACGCATTTTTTTCAGAAAATGCAATTTTCTAGTTATTATTATTATTCTTCCGTACGTTTTTTGGCACTTAACTACTTCAGCATACTTTCAGCTAGAAAAGCCATTCAGGTATCAAAATGTTTGGCTTTTTCAGGACATGCGCGGATGTATACAACTTTTTAAATAACCTTTATACTTTTTAAAATATTCAGCTTTATTCTGAAAATTGCAGAACTGTCCAAATTAAAGAATTAAAGAATTTGGCAGTATACAGGGGAGATTATTTGCTTTGAAATTGCAGCCAGTCAGAGATCTGTCCACACTTCGCCTTTAGGTTCAGTGGAAAGTGTGTCCCGAGTCCAGACTCCTGACTGGTAGTGTAAATAGCTTAAAAGCTCATGAAATGTGTTGGTGGTGAGCACCATTGATCATGTAGTTGTCATTTGGACTATGTCTCTGCAAGTTAAGTATCAACACAAGTTCAGCCGGAAGCCTCTCTCTCTGAAAAATGCAGCAGAGGAGTAAAGGAGCAACAAGTCGGAAGTGCAGCAAAGACAGAGTCATAACTAACAGTTGTGATAAGCTGCCCGTACGGGCTCTGTTACTGGCTGATTGTTGCACTGTGGAGTGATCCTCCATGTCCTCTGCTCAGCTGAGTGTGTGTGTGGCCTGTTAATCTGCTGGTGATGTCTTACTTGTTGTTTGGTTTACAAAATAGAAAGTTTCCAGTTTCTTTAAGACCATGGTGACATCTGATGACAACCTGAAGCCAAACACTTGTTAAACAGAGCATGGTCACGCCCTCCTGACCAGGGGGAGAAGATCATGTTCGAGGTTTTCTGTACAGCCTGTCTGGTAGCTTCACCACATTTTATAAGAAAAACCCTGATGCAGCTGGTTGTTGGGTGATTATTTCACGTTCTGCACAGTTCTCAGTAAACTGACACTGAAGTGTGAAAGTTCCCGGTCCTCGTATCTTCCCCAGAGAGACGAGCACTGTTTGTGCCAGACGCACTGCTGCAGCAGCACCTAAGTGTTTGCTTGAACCAGTGTAACAGTAACTGACCTCAGCCTGCTTCACAAACTGAGTCACAACCACTGGAGTCTGTCTGCCGCACTGAGCTGTTCATTAAAACACATGTGCTGTATACAGTGCCTTGCGAAAGTATTCGGCCCCCTTGAACTTTGCGACCTTTTGCCACATTTCAGGCTTCAAACATAAAGATATAAAACTGTAATTTTTTGTGAAGAATCAACAACAAGTGGGACACAATCATGAAGTGGAACGAAATTTATTGGATATGTCAAACTTTTTTAACAAATAAAAAACTGAAAAATTGGCCGTGCAAAATTATTCAGCCCCCTTAAGTTAATACTTTGTAGCGCCACCTTTTGCTCCGATTACAGCTGTAAGTCGCTTGGGGTATGTCTCTATCAGTTTTGCACATCGAGAGACGGAAATTTTTGCCCATTCCTCCTTGCAAAACAGCTCAAGCTCAGTGAGGTTGGATGGAGAGCATTTGTGAACAGCAGTTTTCAGTTCTTTCCACAGATTCTCAATTGGATTCAGGTCTGGACTTTGACTTGGCCATTCTAACACCTGGATATGTTTATTTGTGAACCATTCCATTGTAGATTTTGCTTTATGTTTTGAATCATTGTCTTGTTGGAAGACAAATCTCCGTCCCAGTCTCAGGTCTTTTGCAGACTCCATCAGGTTTCCTTCCAGAATGGTCCTGTATTTGGCTCCATCCATCTTCCCATCAATTTTAACCATCTTCCCTGCCCCTGCTGAAGAAAAGCAGGCCCAAACCACGATGCTGCCACCACCATGTTTGACAGTGGGGATGGTGTGTTCAAGGTGATGAGCTGTGTTGCTTTTACGCCAAACATAACGTTTTGCATTGTTGCCAAAAAGTTCGATTTTGGTTTCATCTGACCAGAGCACCTTCTTCCACATGTTTGGTGCGTCTCCCAGGTGGCTTGTGGCAAACTTTAAACGACACTTTTTATGGATATCTTTAAGAAATGGCTTTCTTCTTGCCACTCTTCCATAAAGGCCAGATTTGTGCAGTATACGACTGATTGTTGTCCTATGGACAGAGTCTCCCACCTCAGCTGTAGATCTCTGCAGTTCATCCAGAGTGATCATGGGCCTCTTGGCTGCATCTCTGATCAGTCTTCTCCTTGTATGAGCTGAAAGTTTAGAGGGACGGCCAGGTCTTGGTAGATTTGCAGTGGTCTGATACTCCTTCCATTTCAATATTATCGCTTGCACAGTGCTCCTTGGGATGTTTAAAGCTTGGGAAATCTTTTTGTATCCAAATCCGGCTTTAAACTTCTCCACAACAGTATCTCGGACCTGCCTGGTGTGTTCCTTGTTCTTCATGATGCTCTCTGCGCTTTAAACAGACCTCTGAGACTATCACAGTGCAGGTGCATTTATACGGAGACTTGATTACACACAGGTGGATTCTATTTATCATCATTAGTCATTTAGGTCAACATTGGATCATTCAGAGATCCTCACTGAACTTCTGGAGAGAGTTTGCTGCACTGAAAGTAAAGGGGCTGAATAATTTTGCACGCCCAATTATTCAGTTTTTTATTTACGCTGACTGTTGAAGTAGGCTCCTGTTATTAAACACCTGCCGCTTTAACAACATTAAAGTTAACTGTGCTGTTTTTGTTCCCGTGGTTTTATGAAGGTTTTCATCATTGGTCGGTCGGTCAGTGTGAATATGTGTCCATTGTTTAGCATTTGTTTCTAACTGCTTGTCTGTGTTTTGTACAGGATTCACATGTTTGATGCTTCACTCTGTGGCGTTTCAGCGTCAGCAGAAGCTGTTCTGCGTTTCTTCACTCACTCCCTCACACAGGCACTCACTTACAAGCCTCGACTAACAGGTAAGGACCATTTAACAGCTGACTGGTGTTTTTGTGAGATACATTTAGCTTTAAACGCACTGCCTACACTCACCTGGCAAAAACTAAAAGGGGTCAGAAGATTCAGGGATGGAAGAAGTTTGGAATAAGTATCCTGATAGACAGTACGTTTCATAATGATGACAAAAATCATTTTGAAAAACCTATAAAAAAGTGCAAAAACTCTTTGTCGTCAGTGTCAGATGCCATCGCTCTGCAGAATGAGTGGACCTTTGCTAAAGCCAGCTGCTTGTTGACATGTCTGCTCCGTAAGGTAAAGGTTTTATGTGACCAGTGTAATTGGGTTTGTAAACCTTCTCCTATAGTTCCATTGTTCTTTGAGTGGTTGGCAGAGCCTGTTGTGATGGACCTAACGGTGACTGTGTTGTTGTTGTTGTGCCTCTGTAAAAGCTGGCGGTGACCTTCAGTGTGGAGCTGCTGCTGCGTCACCTGCGGCAGGTTTTGGAAACCCACGAGGTCAATTGGAAACATGTCTTGTGCTTCCTGTCCACTCTGCTGGTTTACAACCCCTGTGCCCAGCCCAACCTCAGAGGTAAATACAAAGCAGCAAGTGGGTTTTACTTATTCCTCTGTTATATTATCATAACGCTACAGACTTTGAACAAAGATCAAATTCTAGCTGAAACTTTGCCGACTCAGTAGGGTGTCAACAGATTTGATGTCAGATTCCCTTTTTTGTCAGTTGTTTAAAAAGGCTTGTATTAACCTGAGTGTGTTGTGTTTGTCTATCAGCACTGCTGTCCAGTCTGTTGAGCTCTGCCTTTGAAGGCTATGACTTGGAGAACATGATAACCGCCTTCCTGCTGGCTCGACAGGGTGCGCTGGAAGGACCTGCTGTCTTCCCCTCTTACAGCGACTGGTTCAAGGTTTCACATCAGTTTTTCAGTACCGGGGTTTTAACCAAGGGGGTTCTCTTAATGGACATGGATGATGCTGTTTTGTTTTTCTTAATGTTAGTGAATTGTAGGTCAAGACCAAAACCATCAATGTGTTTAATCCAAATATCACTACCTGCTGTCTGCCCTGTGACAGACTGGGAACCTGTCCAGGGTGGACCCCGCCTCTCACCCCAGTGTCAGCAGGGTTTGCCCCCCCCCCCCCCGGGGGGGGGCGCGC